TAAATATTCTTGTTGTATATTACCATATAAAATACATAGCAGTATATAGATATGTGTATTTGTGTGTTTTTGTTTTTTAGTTTGTTTCTCTTTTTTTTGAGACAGAGTCTAGTTCTGTCGCCAGGGCTTGGAGTTGCAGGCGTGATCTCAGGCATCACTGCAAGGTCGCAACCTCCGGTTCACGCGCATTCTCGGGTCAGCCTCGCGAGTGGGACTGGGACTGACAGGCGCGCCACCAGACCCCGCTAGATTTTTGTGTATTTGTTGAGGTAGAGACGGGGTTTCATCTGTGTTAGCCAGGATGTGTGGTCGACTCTCTGACCTCGTGATCCAGACGCTGCCGCAGCTCCCGAGTGCTGGGATTGGCAGGCATGAGCCACCGCGGCGAGCGGCTGGTGTGTTGTGGTTGTTGGTGGTTCGATGTTCGCTGGAGACAGTCGTTGGTGTGCGTTGGCCGAGGGCTGGAGTAGCGCGAGTGCGATGAGTCGGATGGGCTCAGTGCGGCGGTGCGGGCGCGTGTGTGGGCTCGAAGCAGTGGTGCGCGGGCCCGTCTGTCAGCTTCGTTGTGTAGCTGGGGGAGCTGAGCGGAGGCGTGCAGCGCACACGCTGGGCTAATTTTTAGTGGTAGAGACAGGTTCTCGCATATGTTTGCCTAGGCTGTTCTTCAAACGCTTAGGCCAAGCAATGTGTCCTTCCTCAGCCTCCAGAGTGCGGGGATTTAGGTGCACGCACCTGTCTACCAATCTTTATTCGATTCAACTTTTTTTTGTTTTTTTTTTTTTTTTTTTTGAGATGGGTGTTGCGTCTTGCTGCGTCAGGTGAGAGTGCCGGTGCGTGAATCTCGCGTCACCAAACTCCCAGGGTTCAACGCATTCTCTGCTCAGCCCGCGAGTAGCGGATTACAGCATGTGCTCCCTGCGGTGGGGCGTGTTGGACTGAAAAAAAAAAGAGAAAAAACTAAAAACAAGAAACAACAAATACACATATCTATATATGTATGTATGTATATGGTATATATACAACAATGGAATATTTTATTAGGCCATAAAAATGAAAATCCTATCATCTGCAACAACCAACATGAGTGAATGTGGAGGACCTGATGCTACATGAAATAAGCCAGACACAGCAAAGCAAATACTGTATTTCATTTCTACGTGGAATCTAAAAAAGTAGAACTCATTGAAACACAGGTGGTTTCCAGGGACTGCAGAGTAGAAGAAATGGGGAGATGTTGGTGAAAGGGTACAAACTTTCAGTTATAAGATGAGTAAATTCTGGGGATCTAATCTACAGCAATAGTGACTATTGTTAATAAAGAGTATTAAGCATCTTCCCTACACACACAAAATGGTAACTGTGTGGTGAAAGACATGTTAACTTGATTGTGTTAATCAATTTACAATGTATACGTTTATCACATCACATTATATGCCGTGAATATATACACATTTTGTCAATTATACCTCAACATGGCTAGAGAAAATGGATCAAAATTTATAAAGGATAAGAGAAAAATCATGAGTTTCATAGAATAAATGAAATCTAAATCTCTTTTTCCCTGGTCAAGTATGAATTATTCCTGTTTTTGCTGTTCTAATCAATAACCTAAGAAACATTGAATCTCAAGACTCCTGGCGGGGCACGGTGGTTCACTCCTGTAATCCCAGCACTTTGGGAGGCTGAGGCAGGTGGGTCACCTGAGGTCAGGAGTTCAAGACGAGCCTGGCCAACATGGTGAAACTCCATCTCTACTAAAAATACAAAATTAGCCAGGCATGGTGGTGCATGCCTGTAGTCCCAGCTACTCAGGAGGCTAAGGCAGGAGAATCACTTGAGCCTGGGAGGCAGAGGTTGCAGGGAGCCGAGTCACACCACTGCACTCCGCTTGGGCGACAGAGCAAAACTCCGTCTCCCAAAAAGATTCCCCAGCACCACTGCCTAGGCTAGATGAATTTCCCACAGGACAAAACCACTGATCTTAAGGGTTTGTTCTGAAAATGACAGTACTAGTTACTACTGGTAGATGCAGGCATAGTTCAAAATCCACTTGCATGGGTCAGTTCACATGGCTTCAGAGCAAAATTCTATCTTAAAGAGGACTGTTACAATGTGGTTCCAACCTGTGAAATGTTCAGTAAACTCCTGTTCCAGTTTCATGGCTCTCTCAAACGTTTTTCTGGCTTGTTCTTCTGTTAGACGCTTATTCATTTCCCTATGCAAATAAATACAGAAATTGATAATTACCACATTGTAATACTTTTTAAAAAAAGATGACAAAGGAGAGAAGACATAAAATAGAAAATCATGAAAAGTTGAACTCTGTTGAAAATATGAATGTCATTAAAAACTTGAGTCATTCTGGCCATTTCTGGGATTTTATTTTTTTTGAGACAGGGTCTCACTCTGTCACCCAGGCTGGAGTGCAGTGGCATGATCTCGGCTCACTGCAACCTCTGCCTCCTGGGTTTAAGCGATTCTCCTGCCTCCATCTCTCAAGTAGCTGGATCACAGGTATGCGCCACTACGCCCGGCTAATTTTTATATTTTTAGTAGAGATGGGGTTTCATAGTTGGGCAGGCTAGTCCCAAACTCCTGACCTCAGGTGATCGGCTAACCTCAGTCTCCCAAAGTGCTGGGATTACAGGTGTGAGCCACTGAGCCCAGCCTGTTTCTGGGATTTTTAAAAAATATTTTTAAAAATAAAAATAATAGACTGGGCATGGTGGCTTACACCAGTAATCCCAGCACTTTGGGAGGCCGAGGCAGGTGGATCACCTGAGGTCAGGAGTTCAGGACCAGCCTGGCCAACAAGACGAAACCTTGTCTCTACCAAAAATATAAAAATTAGGCGGGAGTGGTCGCGCATGCTCGTAGTCCCAGCTACTCGGGAGACTGAGGCAGGAGAATCGCTTGAACCCGGGAGGCAGAGGTTGCAGTGAGCTGAGATCATGCCACTGCATTCCAGCCTGGGTGACGGAGACTCTGTCTCAACAACAAAATAAATAAATAAATAAATGAAAATAAAAACAATAAAAACTAGATTTAGTTACTGAATCTGTTGCTATATACTTGGAATGACAGAGGGTTTTAACAAATTCTGCATCAGCTCAGTGTAGCCAAAACACCTATTCATTAATTTATGACACTTTTGACTTTGATGAAAATTTCATATTAAAATGACTTAGAGATCTACGTATCAGTTTACAGAAAATAAGGGGACAAACATCCATATAAATAACCCCATGAGAAGGTAATCAGAAAATACAGTGTGGGGAAATCTCTGCACAAGAAATGACCTGGGTTCTATCACAAATAAATGGGAGGTGGTGCGGGGGTGGGGTGGGGCATAAAAGAGAGATGTGGAGAGAGAATATATAGGTTAAACAACTTAACCAACTGCCACGAATAGATGTTATTTAAAATTTTATTCCAACAAACTGAAGAAATACAAATACACAGTGATTTACACAGACAAAATGATAGAAATGTCTGAGACTTGTTTCAAAATAATCTGGAATGAAGGTGTAAGGAGGTAGGTGTGAGTGGAGAGAGACAAGACTGGTCATAAGTGGATAATTATGGCTGCAGCTGGATGATGAGTATATGAGAGTTCATTCCCAACTTAAAGGAAAGCCTTCAATATTTTGCCATTAATTATGATGTTTGCTTTGGTATTTTGTAGAGTTACTGTCTAGTATTCTTTCATCCCACCCTAAAAAATTATCTTCAGCATTTCTTGTAAGGTAGAACTACAGGTAATGAACTCTTTCAGTTTTTATCTGGGTGAGTGTTAATTTCTCCCTCATTTTTGAAGAACAGTTTTGGCAGATACAGGATTCCTTGTTGACAGTTAAATTTTTTTTTTTTTCTTCAGTGTTTTGAACCCACTGTTTTCTGGCCTCCAAAGTTTTGGATAAAATATCTGCTGGCAGGGCATGGTGGCTCATGCCTGTAATCCCAGCACTTTGGGAGGCTGAGGCAGGTGGATCACCTGACGTCAGGAGTTTGGGACCAGCCTGGCCAACATGGTGAAACCCCGTCACTACTAAAAATACAAAAATTAGCAGGACTCAGTGGTGGGTGCCTGTAATCCCAGCTACTAAGGAGGCTGAGGCAGGAGAATCACTTGAACCCAGGAGGCAGAGGTTGCAGTAAGCTGAGACTGTGCCACTGTACTCCAACCTGGGAGACAGAGTAGACCCTGTCTCCAAAAAAAAAAAAAAAAAAAATCTGCTGATGGCTGGGCCTGGTGGATATTTACTTACACCTGTAATCCCAGCACTTTGGAAGGCTGAGGTGGGTGGATCACTTGCGCTCAGGAGTTTGAGACCAGCCTGGGAAACATGGCAAAACCCTGTCTCCATAAAAAATACAAAAATTAGCCAGGCGTGGTGGTGCACGTCTGCAGCCCCAGCTACTAGGGAGGCTGAGGTGAGCGGCTGCCTGAGCCCAGGAAGTTAAGGCAGCAGTAACCTGTGTAAGCAGTAAGCCACTGCACTCCAGCCTGGGTGACAAACAGAGACCTTGTCTCAAAAAACAAACAAAAACATCGACTGATAATCTTATTGGGAAATCCCCTGTGTGTGATAAGTTGCTGCTTTCAAGATTCTCTCCATATTCTGACAGTTTGATTATAATGTGCCTCCGTGTGGCTATCTAAGTTTATCCTGCTTTGAGTTCCTTGATTTTCTTGGATTATATTCGTGTCTTTCATCAAACGTGGGATGTTTTTGGCCATTATTTCTTCAATCTCTCTGCCCTTCCCCTCTCTGTTCTCCTCCAGGACTCCCACAATGTGAGTTGACTGCTTGATGGTGTCTTATAGGCCCTTTTCTTCAATCATTTCTCTGTTTCTCAGACTAAATAATTTCCATTGTTGTATCTTCAAGTTAAATTTGTTGACACTCTCTTCTGTCTGCTCAAATCTCCCTGAATCCCTGTAGTGAATTTTCCATTTCAGTTATTTTTAGTTCCAGAATTTCCTTTTGGTTTCTTTTTACGTTTTTTATTTCTTTGTTGATATTTCCATTTTGTTCACGTATCTTTTTCATCTTTTTTTCCTTTGTCTTTTTGGAGACAAGGTCTCCCTCTGTTGCTCAGGCTGGAGTGCAGTGGCATGATCTTGGCTCACTGCAGCCTTGACCTCCCAGGTTCAAGAGATCCTCCCACCTCAGCTTCGCATGCAGCTGGGACCAGAGGCTCGTGCCACCATGGCCAGCTAATTTTTGTTTATTTTTTTTTTTCTGAGACGGAGTTTTGCTCTTGTTGCCCAGGCTGGGGTGCAATGGTGTGGTCTCCACTCACTGCAACCTCCGCCTCCTGGGTTCAAGCAAGTCTTGCGCCTCAGCCTCCCAAGTAGCTGGGATTACAGATGCCTACCACCACGCCCAGCTAATTTTTGTATTTTTAGTAGAGATGGGGTTTCACTACGTTGCCCATGCTGGTCTCAAACTCCTGAGCTCAGGTGTTCTGCCTGCCTCGGCCTCCCAAAGTGCTGGGGTTACAGGCATGAGCCACCGCGCTCGGCCAATTTTTGCTGACTTTTTGTAGAGGCAAGGTCTCACTATGTTGCCCAGGCTAGTCTCGAACCACTGAGTTCAGGTGGTTCGTCTCAGCCTTCTAAGTGCTAGAATCACAGGCATGAGCCACTGCGCTGGGCCTATCATTTTCTTGAGACTTTGTCATTTAGCATCTTGTTTTACAGTCTAAGTCTAACTCTTTCTCAAGGATAGTCTTCTGCAGGGATAGTTTATTTTTCCTTTGAATGGGCTATATTTTCCTGTTTCTTTGTATGTCTTGTGATTTTTTGTTGGAAACTGCACATTTAACTCTTACAATGTGGTAATTCTGGAGATCACATTCTTTTCCTTTCCTAGGGTTTGCTGTTTTATTTAAAATTTAACTTTATTGTTTACTGTTGCAAGGTGTTTCTGTACCAGGAATCAGCCAGTCTTTTCAGGTATTTTCTAAGCCTGTGATTTTCCATGGATATGAAAATCTCCCCTCACATACATGGTTACTTTTGAATGTCCAGGTCTGGCCCCTAAAACGGGGGCAAGAAAAAAGGTGTGTGTGTGCGTGTGTGTGTGTGTGTGCGTGCGTGTGGTGCGGGTGGAAGGGGGAGGCACTAGCCCTTTGTTTTCATTTGATTTTGTTTTTCTTTCTCCTCACTAATCACCACTGAAGGCAATGGCCCTTTAAATCTTTAAAAGTCACTTCAGCCTCCAGTGCTTCCAGGCTTGTAACAGTGGCAGTGGGGTCTGCAACAATGGCTCACTTTATGGCTGTATGGCTGCACCTCCATGATCAGAAGCAGTAATTAGCTATCACAGCAAAGATCCCTGCTATTTGGAGGACAGAATCCTTATTGTCCACACTGGCTCCCACAAACCCTATGCAAAGCCGCTTGAAAATGTGTGCATGGCTACATGCTATGGGGCTGAGGGTAGAGGAACAGGTAGTTGCTACCATGTTAAGAGCTGAAATTAACCTTTCAAACCTTTCCCTGGAAGTTATGAGCCTTCAACAGACTTCAGAGTTCCAAACCGGTAAAAATGGTGAACAGAGTTTCCAAAACAGTGACATCAGACAGATTCTGCCAGTGCAGTTGTTGTCTGGGTGGGAAGACAGATTCTCAGAGCTTCCTACTCTTCCATCTTCCCTCTAGCTCCATAATTGATTAGTTTTTAAATGTTAAAGCAGTGTTGCATACCAGGAACATACCCAATTTGGTTGTTATATTTTGCCTTATTAAAAAAATTGTTTGATTCAATTTGCTCCTATTTTGGTAAGGGTTCTTGCATCTATAGTCATAATTAAGACTGGCTTTATCATTTTCCTTTCCTATATAGTCCTTTCCAGCTTTGGGTATCAAATTAATGCTCATAAATTAGTTGAAGAGTTTGTATACAATTGACATAGCTTCTTAGCTTTCGGTAGAATTTAGTAAGTCCTCTAGGCTTAGTATTTAATTTGTGGAAAGGTTTTTTATGATCGGTTCAAGTCTTTAATAAGTACTAGATTATTTAGGTTTTCTATTTCTCTTTTCCCTTTCTATTTTTTCCTTAACATTTTCTGAAGTATATGTTTCAAACACAGATGAGCAATATCAGAAAAATCGTATCATTCAGCTTGTTACATTTTCACAAATTTACATGTACCTGTGTACTTAGGTCAAGACACAGAACATCACTAGTACCCCAGAATCGGGGTGTGCTCACTCTAGTCACCAGCCCCTTCTCACAGGGTAACCTCTGTTTGACTTCTACAAGCAATTATTAAATTTGGAATCATAGAGTATGTATATCTTTAGGTCGAGGTTTTTGTTTTTAACTCAAATCGTACTTGTGAGATTCTTCCATACTTTTGTATGTGGCAGGAGATTGCTCACTCTCACTCATTATCATACAATGTTTCGCTGTGAATATGTCGTAATTTATTTACATATTCTACTGCTGACAGTATTTGACTCTTTTTTTTTTTTTTTAAAGACAGGGTCTCACTCTGTCACCAAGGCTGGAGTGCAGTGGTGCAAGCATAGCTCACTACAGCCTCAATCGAACTCCTGGGCTCAAGGGATCCTCCTGCTTCAGCCTCCTGAGTAGCTGGGATTATAGGAATGCACCATCACATCCAGCTACCTTTAAAGTTTTTTGTAGAGACAGGGTTGTGCTATGTTGCTCAGGCTGGTCTCCAACTTCTGACCTCAAGGAATCCTTCTGTCTTGGGCTCCCAAAGTGTTGGGATTACAGGTGTGAGCTACTGCACCTGACAGCTGCTGACTACTTTAACAGTACTGTCATCACTCTTGTACATGTCTTTGTAAACACATGTAAGCATTTCTGTTGAGTGTGTATCTAAGAATATGACTTCTGGGTCATAACTAATGTGTATGTTCAGCTTTAGGAGACATTATGATACTATGAACAGTTTACCAAAAGATACACCAATTTGCACCCCTAACACTGTTATGAGTTTCAGTTGCTTCACATCCTTGCCGGCATTAAATATTTTCTGTCTTTTTCATTTTAACTATTCTGGTATGTGGGTGGTAGTATAAGACATCAGGGTTTAACTTGTATTTCCATAATTAATTGGGCACTACCTCACATGCTTATTATTTGGAGGTTCTCTTTTGCGATGTGTCCAAGCCCTTTGTCCTTTTTCCTGTTAGGCTGCCTCTGTCAATCTCTCTGATGTCTGCTGCATGTGGAGTCATATCCTCTTTTTCATGCCTGATATTCATATTGATGTGCCTTCTTTCTTTTCTTGATCACTCCTAGTGGTTTACTGTCTTTTCAAAGAGAACACTTTTGGCTTTGTTGATCCTCTTTTATGTTTGTTTTCTATTTCATTAATTTCTGCTCTGCCGTATTTTTTATTTAAAAATTTTTTTAATACTGTTTTCTTCTTTTTTTGACTTGGGACAGGGTCTTGCTCTGTCACCAGGCTGGAGTGCGATGGCATGATCTTGGCTCGCTGCAACCTCCACTCCCTGTGCTCAAGCAATCCCCCCATCTCAGCCTCCCAAGTAGCTGGGACGACAGGCGCACACCACCATGCCTAGCTATTTTTTTGTATTTTTAGTAGAGACAGAGTCTCACCATGTTGCCCAGGCTGGTCTTGAACTCCTGAACTCAAGCAATCTGCCCACCTAGGCCTCCTGAAGTATTGGGATTATAGGGGCTGGCCACTGTGCCCCACCTTCTATAATTTTGAGTTTGACTGATATTTTTTCAATTTCTCAAAATCTTAGATTTTCAACTTTCCTAATATTTGATTTTCAACATTCTTTCCTAACATTTAAAGCTGTGTGTATTCCTTCAACAAAGCTATGAAAGCCTCCAAACTCATTACTTGGCAATTCATTACTATTTAGTTCAAAACATTAATTTATTCTGTGATTTCTTCTTTGACTCACTCAGAAGTATAATGCTTAATTTCCAAATATATGAGAATTTTCTAGTTATCTTTTAGTTATTGGTTTCCATTTAAATTGCATTATAGTCAGAAAGTATTTGTTTTCTATCATTTGAAATTTGTAATCCAGCAAATGATGAGTTCTGGTAATTGTTTCATGTACACTGGAAATCCATGTGCATTCTGCAGATGGTGAGTGCAGTGTTTAACATATGTCAAGTAGGTAAAGTTTTTAATTTGTGTTATTCTGTGCCTTCACTGATTTTTTATATTTGTTTTCTTATTTAATTGCTTCCTCACAGGTATGTTAGGTTCCTTCTCGATGATTTTGGAATTACCTTTTCGCCCCTATGAAGCTGTCAATTTGTACTTTTTATGTTTTGAGAATGCTATTAAGTGCAAACAAATGTATGAACAGATCCTCCTGCTGGAGTGAATCTTTTACTTTTATGAAATGTCACTCTTAAGGCCAGTAGTACTTCTTGCCTTAAAGTATACTTCGTCAGCAATATAAAAATCGGCCTAGTTTAGCATGGTATAGCTTTTTCTATTCTCTTACTTTCAACCTTCCCATAGCCTAATTTTTAAGGTGTGTCTGATGAAAGCAACATATAATTTACTTTTTTCTTCACCCATTCTGACAATCCTTGTCTTTTAATTGGAACATTTAGTCCAGTAGTCTAATATTTGCCTTAGTTTATACCATCTTACTATTTATATGGTTTTGCCTCACTTGTTCTATGTTTCTATTTGCTCTTTCTTAATTTTTACTTAGATTCTATTTTTTTGTCCCCCAAAAGTATTACATAATGGTTACACATTCTTCTATTCCCTTAATGGTTACCTGAGAGTTGTGCTGCATACTTCAGTAGCCACTAGCCACATGGAGCTATTTAAAGTTCTAACACGTTACCTTATAACTTTAGTAATATTAATGATGATGATTACAACGACAATTTAAAACCCACAGTGCTTATTTAATCCTCACCACATAATCTGAGGTGAATATACATACTACTATATCTCAGTTTTATAGATATAGAAACTGAGATGCAGGGAGAGTAAATAAATTACCCTACAGTGACTGAATTTGTACACAGAGGCTATGCCTCAGGCATTTACACTTACATGATATTTTCCATGGATTTGGGTTTAATAAAAATGGAGATAGGGTAAAGCTGTGCAATCTGTAATCTCTTTATGGCATTTCCAGACACATCAAGGATACAGTGTTTGCCCTAAAATAAAAGGAACAAAGAAAAAAAAACAAGTGAACCAAATATTCTCAATAATATCAAAGGTACATTTCCCACAGGCCCAGAGTCTAAATCGTGGTATGTCTGGATCCTTGTTCACTTTAAGCAAACTTGTCACTTCTCTCAGCAAACTTGATAGGAAATGAAATGATTATGCATAATTAATTTGCCATTTTCAAACAAATGTTGTATTTAAAAAGGAATGAGAATACAGTTCCTAGTTTTCACAGATCAGTAATTTCTCAAAATGGTGAAAACCAGAGCTCCCCCCCACTTTTCTTTTTTTTATATTTAACAGACGGGGTCTTGTTCGGTTGTCTAGGCTGGTCTTGAACTCCTGGGGCTCAAGTGATCCTCTCACCGCAGCCTCCGGAAGTGCTGGGATTATAGGCATGAGCCACTGTGCCAGGCCCAGGTTCCTATTTTTCATTCTGCCAAGAAAAAGTATTCATAAAGACCCCAAACTACCATCTCCCCATAGCTATCATTTCATAAAAGATAAAAAATCCTAGAGTAAGGGCAAACCTTTTAAATAAACAAATGTGTGAAACTTCATTACCACTACTCAATCCTCCTATTTCTCATTTTACTAGGGACAGACAAAAACTCATAAACTAGCATATGGGACCCAATTCTGGATTTAAATGACAACTTTTCTGACAGGCTTAAACTCACTGACAAAGGATACTTAGGTTTTTAATACAGATGGGCATTTCCATGGTAAGCAGAGTAGTAGTTATTATTTATGACAGATTTGCTTCTAATACATTTGAAATCAGGCCCTCCCCCATAACGCAACTTCAGTTTTTTGTTTGTTTTTGAGACGAAGTCTTGTTCTGTCACCCAGACTTGAGTGCAGTGGCACGATCTCGGCTTATTCCAACTTCCGCTTCTTGGGTTCGAGTAATTCTCCTGCTTCAGCCTCCCCAGTAGCTGGGATAACAGGTGTGCGCCACCACACCCAGCTAATTTTTGTGTTTTTTGTACAGATGGGGTTTCACCATGTGGGTCAGGCTGGTCTCAAATTCGCGACCTCAAGTGATCCACCCACCTCGGCCTCCCAAAGTGCTCGGATTATAGGTGTGAGCCACCACACTTGGCCCCATAATGCAACTTCTAACCCAAGGACTTGAGTCCAAGTCAATACATGATAATTTCAATTTGGTGGGCACACTTAAAATAACAAATTTAATACTGTAAAATACTCCAAACATATAGAAAAGTAAATAACAGACACTATGTATCCATTATCTACTTTTATCAGATATAAATATTTTACATTATCGCTTAAACATTTTAGTAACTTGATACTGAAATATTAATATTCTATGTTTGCTTTGGCTCTTTCTATATATGTACATAATAGTTTGAGAAAAAACTGCATAATGCTCCTTTACCTCGTATTTCTTAAAAACAATGGCATCTCTTATATAATCACAATATGATTCCAAGTGGCCATCTAATGTTCCTTATTGGAAAAGAAAAAAAAAATTTCCTGGTCCAGGATCCAATTCAGGATCATAGGATCACACACTGTGTTTAGCTGTAAAGCCTCCTTAGTCTCCATCAATCTGACACAATTCCTCAGTCTTGGTCTTTCTTGATCTTGATGTTTTTGAAGAGTATAAAATATTATGTCATAGAATATGCCTCAACTTGGGTTTGTGTGTTTCCTCACTCTCGGATGGCAGGTTACACATTTTTGGCAGGAATACCACAGATATAATGTGTGTCCTTCTCAGTCCATCATATCTGGGAGGTGACATTATATCTATTTGTCCCACTGGTAGTGATGCTAATTTTGATCACTTGTTTAAGGTTTTATCTGCTAGGTTTCTCCACTGTAAAATTATTACTTTTGCCTTTGTAACTGATAAGTATTTTGGGGGAGGACACTTTGAGACTATATAGATATCCCATTTTTGATCAAATGTTCACTAATTTTAGAATACACTGATGATTTTTGCCTGAAACAATTATTACCATGCAGTTTTCAAAAGATTTTCTAATCATTTCTTCTACCTTGATTAGTAGACAGTCCAAAGTGTTCCCTTCTATCCACTTATTTACTCATATACAGATGCTCCTTGACTTATGATGGGAGTTACGTCCCAATAAACCCATCACAAGTTGAAAATACTATAAATTGAAAATGCGTTTAATATACCTACCCTACTGAACATCATAGCTTAGCCTAGATTACCTTAAATGTGCTCAGAACACTTACTCTACAGTCAGACAAAATCATCCAACATACCTGTTTTATAATTAAGTGTTGAATTTTTCATGTAATTCATTGAGTCCTGTACTACAAGTGAAAACCAGAAAGGCCGTATGGGTACTTGAAGTATGGCTGCTACTGAATATGCATCACTTTTGCGCCTCTGTAAAGCTGAACCATTCTAAGTTGGGGGCCATCTGTGTTTATTTCATTCTGGAGTCTAGGATTTTAATTTTACTCTATATATTATAATCTGTGATTATCATTTATCTTGATATTCACATTATCTCAGACTTGGCCAGTGGGGGATCCCACAGCTTGGTTCCTTGCCTTTTTACACACCCTCATCACTCGCGGACTGCTCCCTTGTTTTTCTGGCAGCAAAAATGTTACAGGCTCATCTTGCCCTTTTCCAGTCCTGGCCCCAGAATCAGCCATTTCTCTGAGGAGTCCTGGATCTTTCAATTAACGAATTATATTTAGAAGCCAAGACCTGGGCACCAGATATTCTCATGGCTTATTCAGGGTTATTTTTAGGTCTTCTTAGTGGATAGAGCAAATAAGCATACGTGTGTGTATATGTAAATACACATCTTTCTAGGTCTACTCTATTACAATTCATGGGTTCATATTCATAGCTCTAATTATCTAATATCTCCAATCCAATTATCAGAGTTCATTTTATCCTCTCCCTTTTTCTGACAGTCAAACCTCACTCCCACTACTGTCATTACATTAGTTTATTTGCTCAACCCTAGAATATATATTAGTTTCAGAACTGTAAGACCATACACTCCACCCAACAAACCTACTAATTAGAATTTTATTTTGTTTACAGATCTGTCTTCAGCTTGTGTTAAAGAATCTCTGGGATTAAGACTTCTCCCTTCTCCCCTCTTCAATGTAGTTATTCATTTGAAATGGTTGGACATCATATCCTATGTACAAAGGCCATTTTTATATCTTATTTTTGTGTGAACTATGTATTCTCATTTTTTGTCCATTTTTTTTTTCCCTATTGGGTTTCTGGTCTCTATTCCCTGTTTTTATGAGTTCTTTATATATTGGGAATATTAGCCCTTTTCTTCTTGCAAATTTCTTCTGTCAGTTGTTTTCTGACATTGTTAATGGTGTTATCTAATAGTTTTTGGAAAAGTTCTTTGGCCATAAAAAAAGTTTTTAAAAATTTTAAGTGGTTAGATTTATTGATCTTTTTCTTTTCTTTTTTTTTTTTTTTTTTAAGGGCCAGGGTCTTGTTCTGTTGCCCAGGTTGGAGTTCAGTGGCATGATCATAGCTCGCTGCAGCCTCAAATTCCCAGGCTTAAGTGATCCTCTCAACTCAGCTTTCTTAGTAGCTAGGACTATAAGGGTATGCTGCCATACCTGGCCCTTATCTCCTTATAATATATGCTGGAGGGCTAGGGTTAAACAAAAGGTCTATCTCTAGCAAATGACCTTAAAATAACTTCTCCTCTTACATTCATGTTACCATTCCTATTTTCACTTTCTTTGTCTACCTTATTTACCTGTTTTATCTTGTATGCACTTTCCTGAGCCACCAAAAATTAATCATGTAGGTAAGCAAATTCATTACGTTAATAAAACTAATTAATGCTGTATCTATCCTACCACTCTTTCATACTGTCAAAGGCATATCTGACTAGAAGCTATATTCTGGGATTAGTCTGATGCTTACCTTTTCTGCTACTTCTCGCACAGACTGAACACTTGTTCCATATAGATGATTGTTATACTGGCCAGCTTCAATGAATTTATGTTCCTGGATATCTTTTTCCATCTGCTCTCTTGAAGTCACAAAATGATAATCTCTTCCGTCTACCTCATAATCTCGTTTTGGTCTAGTTGTATCTTTAACAGAAAAAAACTTGGGGAAGTGTTTAATATTAAAAAAAACCCCACAATAAATCCATTTTCTACTTATATCATTGTTTTGTAAAGTTCAACAGATTAATTTAAATCTGAGAAAGGACAACAATATGGAGGATGGAAGAGGAACTGATAAAATAGGTACAAACCGTTAAAAAATGGTTCTACCTATTTTTCCCACACACAGTGACAGGCATTGTTAAGAGTAACAATGAAATGTTTTTGTCTGGTTTACTCACGAGGGACACAGGATCCAAATTTGTCGGGAAATTCTGAGATCAAGTCGTCATTGATCCGGTCTTTCATGGGTCCCAGTATGATCACTGGCCGAGTGTAATTAACTATAAAGATAAACTGCACGTTAAAAGGAATAAATAGTCAACAAATATCAATGTATTTTATTTCACTACAGAACAAAAATATCCTTAACTGTTTTAAATATTTTTTTTCTTCTTTCTCCATCTCACTCTACCATCAACCAAAGATGCATAACTTGCTCTTTTATAATCTTGACTAAGATCTTAAACTCTACTCAGTCTTGTTAGAAGTCATATTGATAAATCAACCAAGTTAAATTTGGTATGTTAGCAGATAATATTTCTTTACATTGCAAATCAAAGCATAAAGTGTAGTGTTTTACAGATGGCTCTGAAGTAGAAATTGTAAGGAAGCAGAGCAAAGAAGGGCAGAAAAGAAATTGGATGTGGGAAGTGATATAATCCCAGTAGTAGTGTTCTAAAAAGATGATCTAACAGAAGCATGAACTCTGGGTTGTATGGGGTCATGCTGGAAGAATGGAGATTGGTAGTGAGACTGAGAACTAACACTGTGAGAGAAGGGATGAAAAGAAGGTCATAAATAAGAAAGAAGTAGAATAAACAGTGCCCGGAACCTAACTGGATGAGGAGGAGGAGGAACGGAGAAGGCTCAAAGATGCTTCCAAGATTTTCAAAAAAGGGTTATTTGGAAGATAGTGATGCTAACAAGAACACTGGAACGAAGTTGCTTAGGAAATAAAACACAAATATAAAAGTCAATATGAAATGACTAGATTCTAATATACTGTGGAGTAACCTATGTTTCATAAACACATGTAGTAAGTTTCTGCATAAAAATGTAGTAAAAAAAAATTCTAATATAACGTTTTTTGGGGGTATTAGACTTTTTTCCTCCAAATTAAAACGTATATTCTTCTAGAAGATTATAAAACATCAATAGTCTTCACAAACCTTCTTGTTGGTTCACTGGTTCATAAGATAAGACGTATTCTTCTTGACCACCTATTAGAAAGTGAAGGCACAGATGAAAAATGTGTCCAGATAATTGATGCTCATCTAATTCTTCATGAACAACGTTAGACATTACTACAACTTTCCTGAGAAAACGGCAAAGATATGGAAAGGTACTTTATGGCAAGATTTAGTAAAAAAAAAAAAAGAAAAAAAAAAAAAATGGGGGGGGGTCAAATTATAAAGTCATAAAAGTGAGTTTGCTAAATGTAAAACAAAATACAAATGGGCTATTTAATCAATATTATATTTGATAGATAATCAAATCTAAAAATCTTCATTTGTGATGCTATGTTTACTTAGAATCTAAGAAATATTTACTTAGAATCTAAGAAATATTAAATCTGTTAAAGATTAATGCTTTAATGAGCAGTTTATCTATCTATCTATCTATCATCTATATACATATTAGGTAACTTGTTACTATTAAAAACATGCTACTTTTTTAGTTCCACCAACTATAATATTGAATACAGTATATTTTATTTTTAAAATAATTACATCGTAAAATTAAAAATTATAAATGCAAAGGTAAAACTACTGTTACTATTTCACTGATGAAAAAATTCACTAACAACTTTGTAAAAAATAATAAATTTAATGTGAGTCAAAAAGAGCTTTAGATAAAACTAAATCCTTCCAATAAAATAAACCACAGTGATAGTAAAGGAGATAAATATATTCGCTTTGACCTTAAAAGCACAAGAAGTTAAAGCTTCTAAAGGTTAAATCAAAGGTTCAGAGCTTAGGAAATATTCTAAATGAAAGAGTCTACAAATTATACCTGAATTCAGTGTAAAGAAATAAAAAGAGTTAAAAACTCTAAGAGTTGTTTTTTTTTTTTTTTTGAGATGGAGTTTTGCTCTTATTGCCAGGCTGGTGTGCAATGGTGCGATCTCAGCCCACGGCAACCTCCACCTCCCGGGTTCAAGCGGTTCTCCTGCCTCAGCCTCCCGAGTAGCTGGGATTACAGACATGCGCCACCGTGCCCAGCTAATTTTGTATTTTTAGTAGAGATGGGGTTTCTCTGTGTTAGGCTGGTCTTGAACTCCCGACCTCAGGTGATCTGCCCGCCTTGGCCTCCCAAAGTGCTGGGATTATAGGCATGAACCATCACGCCCGGCCAAAAACTCTAGTTTTAAAATAACACACACCCCCCTCACCCCACACCGAAAATTAGAAAAGACTATGTTAACTCAAGTGGTTCAATGAAAGCAATCAATATTGGATAATGTATTTGAAGATTTTCTCTTTAATTATCAAGATCCTATAACAATTTTACCAGGAATTTTGCGATTGGTTTATATTATATGTATGTAGCTGTAGGTCTTTTAAACCCATACATTGGCATAAACATTCTTTTCTGCTTTAAAAGTGTGTATTTATTTGTTTTCAATTTTATTATTAAAGTATATAAAACTGGTATTTCATAAGCTGTTTTTTAAAGTACTGGATGTAAAACATGGCTTACATACTAGCAAACACATGCAATTTGAATATTTCACATCTTAATAAATTCATGCAAATGGTAAGACAGACAGTATATACTTTCATTACCTCTTTTTAGCCTAGAAAGCCACTCAACTACCCTATAGTGGGTTCTGGTTATAAGCAATAAAATGCTGAAATACAGGAAATCATTTCCACACCAAAAAAAAAAATCATTAAGTAACTACTATGTAGAAAAATAATCAACCAAATGAATGATGGTTAAAAGTATATACTGTCAACATGAAAAAGTATTAGGGACTGATATTAACAGGATGGACCTTTTGAGCAGCCATACTCATCTGTAATCAAGATTACTTTCATATTAGACAGCAGTAAAAAAAGAAAGTTAGAAAAGCAATTTTAATTTTTAAGGTGCTACAACTGATATTATGTACCCTCCCCTTCTCCCATGCCCCAAGTCTGTTTAAAACATCACATGCTTGTGCAGTTCACTTAATAAAACCAAGAATATAAAACAGCAAAAGAGAAATTAGTATTATTTTTCGGGCAATCACTGAAAATATTCCCTTATTTCTTCTGTTCACCAAGTGCTGATGATAAACAATAACTTGACCCAGATCAGTACCGATGACAAAGAATAAAAAAGGAAATAAAGCTAATGATAATTTAGCATTACTGAAAAATACTGTTTTAGTGCTCATGTTAAAAACAGAATTATTAAACAGAAAGTCAAAATACAAGTTTTCCCTCATTTAACTATTTGCTTCTTATAAAAAATACATATACATATGTATCATGTTCACCAATAATACTAAACTGTTTTTAGTATTATATTAAAATTTTATAAATTAACCTCTACATATATAGTATGATTTTATTTTTCAAGTACAGAATTTTACTTGTCTCTCCCTGATTTTAAAATAAAGATCATATAACTTTAAGTTTTTAGAACGTATCACTAAGAATCCCTCCACCCCCGCAGAGGATGTATTACTCGAGATTACAAAAGAACAAGTAACTTAAGACACTTACGGTAACTACTTTCACTATCGCTGGCATTAGAAGTTACATGCTCTGAAATTGCAGGACAATGAAAAAAAGTAAAGAAAACAGTGTCATGAGTTTAAAAAGCAAATAATCAAAATAAAATGTTGCGATATAAGCCATACATAACAAAATAATTTTTTAAAAGCATTTTTTATTTTCTTTAAAAATATTATTTTTTTCAAATAATAAATATTAGCAAAGGAAAACATCTGTAATTAAGGACAATGTCTTATTTTTGTACAACACAGTTTCTGAACAAATCTATTATAAATAGCAACTAGAATATGTCAAAAGGGCAAAGTGATCCTGAATTAGTCCAAATGTAGACATAAAACCCAATGGAGAAAATAGTTGGCACTATTTCAGTTTTTGAAACGGCAGTAACTGGCAAAGGGGACAAACTATTTAAGCAGATAGATGCCCATTTTAATGAAGGGATGTCTTTGTAATTAAAAATAAAGAGATCATCTTATTTTCAGTCCAGCTTCACTCCTGTTTCTGAAGATGAAAATCCATGTTTCTGAGATCATACAGATAAAGGATTTTAGAAGTCATAAATTCAAATGTCTCGGCTGGAAGGGAATGCACCAATGGTGGCACTGCATTTTAAAACCAACTAATATTTCTTAGAAACTCTGCTTTGATAAGACTGACAGTGGCTGCTTTGCAAAACATATAAAAGACAATGAAAACAAACACACCCAGCCAAAAACTGCCTGTCCCCTCCTTAAAGGTGACCCGTTTCACGACTTCATTGCTTAGTAAACCATAGGCACGCTCCTCATCCATGTAAATGTGATCTCAAGTATTCTCTCAATAAATATCCCCCTTGCATTAAACAAAGACTAATAAATTTATTTCTAAAAAATAAAAATAAAACTTTCAACGAGACAGGGAAACTGACATTTTTATTTTAACTTTTTTTTTTTTAATTAAAGGGACAGGGCCTCACTCTGTTGCTCAGGTAGGAGTGCAGTGGTATGACTATAGCTCACTGCAGCCTCCACCTCCTCTCCTGGGCTTCTGTGATCCTCCCATCTTAGCCCAGAGTGGCTGGGACTTCAGGTATGTACCACCATGCCCTGCTAAAATTTTGTTTTTTTAATAAAAGAGACAAGTCTCAACCATGTTGCCCAGACTGGTCTCAAACTCCAGGCCTCAAGGGATCCTCCCATTTCAGCTTCCCAAAGTGCTGGGATTACAAGTGTGAACCACCACACCACATAGCTGGAAATTTCTTTTTTTCTTTTTTCTGAGACAGTCTCTTTTTTTGAGACAGTCTTCCTTTGTTGCCCAGGTTGGAGTGCAGTGGCATGATCTCAGCTCACTGCAACCTCTGCCTCCTAGGTTTAAGCAATTCAATTCTTGTGTCTCAGACACCTGAGTACCTGGCACTACAGGTGTATAGCACCACGCCCAGCTACTTGTTCTATTTTTAGTAGAGACTGGTTTCACCATGTTGGCCAGGCTGATACTGAACTCCTGAGATCAAGTGATCTGTCTCCCTTGGCCTCCCAAAGTGCTGAGGTTACAGGCATGAGCCACTGCACCTGGGTGGAAATAAAATTTTTAAGGTAAAAAAAAGTTTGAGGCTGGGCATGGTGGCACACGCCTGTAATCCCAGCACTTTGCGAAGGTGAGGCAGGAGGATCACTTAAGACCAGGAGTTCGAGATCAGCTTGGGTAACATGGAGAGACACTGTCTGGGGAGAAAAAAAAAAAAAAAAAAAAGTGCTGGGCTTGGTGGTGCGTGTCTGTAATTCTAGCTATTCAGGAGGTTAAGGTGGGAAGACCACTCAAGCCAAAGGGTTCCAGGCTGCAGTGAGCTATGAACATACCACCGCACTCCAGCGTGAGTGACAGTGTGAGATCCTGTCCCTAAGAAACAAAAACAAAAAAGAAAAAAGTTTGAAGATAAGTATCTGCTATACCATACCACTCACAGAGTCTCCTAAAATCAAGTATCACTATTAAAACGTACAGTGAATGGTTGAACTTAAGATTTCAAATTAAATAAGATTTTTGAACTGCTATCATAATGAGAAGGATAAGTCTGTTATTGTAACTTTCAGAAGACACAAGATATAACTTTCTAATCATGAGTTACAGGATACATTTGTAATAAAGCAGACGGTGTAAAAATTGCAAGGAAGAATTCATAATATATTGTAAGCACATGTAAATGGTAGGTTTTTCTTCTTTTTGAGAATGAGTCTTGCTCTGTTCCAGGCTGGGAGTGGCAGTGGAAGATTGCATCGGCTCTCATACAAGCCTCGCCTCCCGGGTTTCAAGCTATTCTCCTGCACTCAGCCTCCCCTGAGTAGCTGGGAATTACAGATCTGCACCACACACCCAAATTTTTGTATTATTAGTAGAGACCGGGT